TTCTTTTTTTTTTCCTCATTTTTTTCCTTCTAATGCCTCTGCCTGAAGCTGGAAGTTGATTTTTTTCCTTTGTTCTAGGTTTAGTATGAAAAGTTGTGACCCTGGTTAAAATCAGTGACAGTCATAGCTGTAATAGGAACAGAAATAGAGGTGTGAGGTTAAGCAGATGTCAGCATTCGTTCTGACCTCCTGCTCTCTTTCAAGTCTCGGGTCACAGCTCCCAAATCCGTTCTACAGCTAGCTTAGTGTCTATAAAATAAAGGTCTTGAAAACATATTGTAAAAAGTCCCTTGTCTTGCTGCTTAGATTGTCTTTGCATTTAGCTTCTTTATGTAAAGTAATATATTTTTTCTCCTCTCACCCCTAGTCAGGACTTTTAGTGGACATAAGTTACCAGGAAGTTGAATATTTGAAATCTGCTCCCTACAGGTGTTTATAGGGCACATCCAAGATAGCCCAAGTGCAGCTTTTGCCTTGCAAGGGCAGAGGGCACATCTGCCTGTCCACAGCAAAGCCAGAGCTTCTTGGAAGTCGGGTCCTCCGTGCTGTGCCTGTGCAATGGGCCCAGTCATGTGGCAGCAAGAAGAGCTCTGTGATCCTGTCCTGCCAGTGCAAAGTGCTCTGTGACTCATCTGGTTAGCAAGCTTTGGCTCTGCGGCCCCAAAGAGCTGGTCTCAGGAGCTTCTGAGGCAGATGCACTTCTGTTTTCCATCAGAGGCTTCTTGGCTCTCACCTTGTGCCACTTTTTTATTTCTCTTTCCTTACACTGAAACCTCAAATGCTCCCTTATTCTTGCCCTGTGCCTATCTTAGCTATTTAGAGTGTTCATGATTCTTTGAATATCTAGCTCCCAATGGCTCTACTACCCAGCAAATCTTTTAGGCAGTAAATAAGGAGACAAACAGGTGCCCTCACGTAGGCAGGCTTACCCAGCACAGCACAGGAGGCTCTTTGAAGGCACCATCTGGTCCAGTCTCCAGCGGGAGAGTGGAATTTGCACCAGACAGGCAAAGGCAGAATACACAGAATCAATCAGGTGCAGGACGTTGTTGGGGACCAGTGAAACAACCTTATCCAAATGGTGATGGGTTGCCACCACGGAGGGGCAGCCCCTTCCATTAGCTATCCCCATCTGTCCCAGGGCAGCTCGGCTTTCCCAGCCCGGCGTGCTTTCCGGTGGCAGCAGGAGCTTGGCCTTTAGCGTAGTGACTGCAGAGAGGCCATCAAATGGCTTGGGATGGAAAATGGAGATGCAGTAACTTAGGATCTTGTAAGCTCTGCGCAGTAGCTGGAGGTGAGTGTCTGTTGCCAATGACACGCCAAAGGCAGCGCAAGGGTTTCCTCTTCAGCAGTTAATGTGACTGCAGAACAAGCCTCTGTGAGAACTGCTGGCTGTTCAATCTCAGGTGTGGAGGGTTTTCTTGTTATTGTTTTAGTAAGCAATTATTGTCATTCTTCTCACTCAACTAGTCCGTCCTTGCATTGTTTAAGTGTTCTGAGTTGCATAAGTTTGGTCTGCCTACCTGATTTCTTTAAGATTTCAGTATTTTTGTGCACTTTTTCAATACAGCACTTATTTACATAAGGGTGAAGAAATCCAAACTAGGTGTTTTCTGAGTATTTCCTGGCAACTAGAGTAACATATTTCCTTGTCTGAGGTTTCCATACCCTATCTGCTCTCTTTGCTTGAAACTTAAAAAAAAAACCAACCAAACAATACAAAAAACACTGCAAAACACTTTCCCCACCCCTTTATTTTTTATATATATATATATATAATATATAATATATATATATCTTCTTTAATTACATTTTTTAAAATTACCTAGCTGTAGGGGCAAGTGTAGAGAAGGGGCAGAAGGGTGACGGTACTGTAATACAGCTTTGTCTGCTCTGGTCTCTTGTATCACAAATTTCTTACCACATTTGATTGCAGATTGTATTCTGGGAGATGTGGACTCTACACATTAGTAAACGTACAAAGAAGTTCCATTTATGCTAACAATATCATCTTTTTTCACATATAAGTATCTGTGTGTAACTAAATAATAAATATATTTTTAAAATCTATATAAATATATATATATTTAGTCAGCAGAAAATAAGGGTGAAAACAGAGCTATCAGAAGATTCTGGTAAGGTCCCTGAGCTGGAAATGAGGCAGAGCCAGGCAAATGAGATGTGGAAAAGGGTATTTGCATTGCAAAAGTATGCACGGCTCTTTGCTACTCAGCACAATATTGAATAAGCCCCAACAGATGTAGCAATATCAAGTCTGTTCCCCAAAGAGGAGGAAGCTGCCTTCTTTAATTAGTGGTAAGTCTGGGAGGGAACTAGAAGATTTCATTTGTTAGTACTTCAGCCGGTCTTGTAACAGCTTTAAGAACAGTTTCCTTCATAAGAGAATTTGGATGTGGCATAGACGTTACAGTTGTTCATCTTACGTAGGCTCATGCTATTCCTTGCATAAGTGAGGAGACGTCCAGCCTTCCCAAATGTTATATCAATGTTATCTTGCTACCTCAGCCTGGTTCTCCAGTCTAAGTGTCCAGAGTTGTCCCCACTGCTTACATCTGGCTTATGCCTTCACTGCAGTGTGGGGCAAGCGGGTTGACCCTTCTACTGGGTCACTGGCATTAAGTGGGGGACGATTGTCACAGTCTTAAACATTGCTCAAAGAGGCACACTGCTTTATCCACTACAAAAATGTGCACAGGATAGTGTTGGGAACCTCTTCTGGAACTATTTTGGATATATGGATAGCAGGGCCCTTACTGTATCCTAGAGGAGACCGAAATACTTGTTAACTAGAGGGCAGTTTTGAAGTTGGCCTTACAGAAAACACGAATATATAAAAATTGCATAGCATGTTCTACCAAAAAGGTCTGTTCATGTTAATAATACAGAAATTCAAGAGCATGAATGTCTCAATCCCAGAAGCTTTTAGTTCTTAAATATGTGTCTAACTTTGGAGGATTCCCAGAAAGTCAATGCAGAACCATTATTGCTAAGCCAGCTAGCAGTTGTAGTAGGTTTTCCTTAGAGTATTTGTGTAACCTAGAAAATTTTGACTGTTTAGGTCTCTGTGAATATCTTTGGACATTTATTTTCATCCCTCCTCTCCAGTAGAGATCTCTATCAAATGTGACACAAACTTACAGAGTTTGCATGCAAGCGTAATAGAAATCCAAGACTGTGCAGAGCAGAAGAGAAGGGATTTTGTTTTTATTGTGGGACTGGGTCATGCCCCAGCAATTTAGTTACTAGACCCAGAGCTCCTTTTCACTTGCCGCTTTAGCTTTCCTTCCCACTCTACTCCCTAGTTTACTTTAGTCATGCACTTCTCACCAAGTGACTTCTGGAAAAGAGAGTGCATATTGAGAACACATGTTCTGTACTTTTGCTCCAAGCTTAGGAGGATGCAGGCAGTCCCACCAGTAGTATTAGTCTTTGTCCTTGAAAATAGGAAGTCCTCAGATGATAGAGAAGGCACCAATGCAGCTGTGATCCTGTCCTTTGCAACCTGAACAAAACATGTCTGAGGATCTGTATGTAAGTCTCTCCGCAATGACGGTTGCACCTGGAGGTAGAGCAGAGGTTGAAAACCAGGCCCAGCCTTCAGGCTCTGCAGGCCTGGCCCAGCACAGGACGTCAGAAGGCCCCTATGTTGGGGTCCTTGTTCCTCTTGCAGGTAAGGGCATGGTGAAGATGCATAAAAGTCAATTTAAATATTGAGGAGTTGAGGTGGGCTGATAATGTAGTTGGCCTCAAGGAAGAAGGTGCGCAAGGTGCACAGTACAGTTTGGTTAAGCAATATATGTGACCTGGAAGGCCCAGGATAGATGATCTTACAGGTATATGAGATACCTGGGAAGCCTGAATGTGGTTATCTGCATGAGTATGAATCATGTTCACCTGGTTCACTGATCATGAATCATGGCTGAAACATGACTACTAAAAGCAACAGATGTATCATAAGATACTAAAGCAAAAGTACAAAAAGTTATTTGAATGTTGCCATGGTTTTGTTGACAAAAGAAAATAATTTTGTGCTCTAGTGAATCCATCCTATTCCATAATTAGAGGAAAAATTGAATGCTGTATACCTAAGACAACAGTATCTGGTGTGCTGGCTCATAATGACTGTTTGGTTGCTAATTTGTGCCATTGGCAGGAAAATATTTATTTTCCTTGTTTAAAATACCAAACTTCCATGAGTTGGACTAAATGTTGGCAAATAATAATAAAAATTAAATTAAAAAAATTCAAAAACTAAATTTAATACAAAATAAAATGAGAGTGTAGAGAATACACAGGAGGAAGTCTTGTGAGGCAGAACATTCTGAAATACTTTACCTGGAAAGGGGTTACAAAATTCCTTTGTAAACTGGAATCTGGGTGTGGTTCTTACATCCACATTTCTTTTGTGTCCAAAGCAATACCGGATCACATAGGTATTCATTTATGTATTGCAGATATGTGTGATAAAAACAGATTGAGAAATATTTTTCTTGTTCTGCTGTGACAGCTGCATTAGGCAGCAGAGTTTAATAATATACTCTTCAAATTTATTGCCTTTAGACTTTCACTGTGGACATTGAAATTGGAAGAGAATTTGTACATATTTTCATGAGAAATGCTGCAAAGAGCGTTTTAGTCCCTAAACACTTTGGTCGTATTCAGTAATGACCTACGCTTGTTCTCACTTTACTCCAGGGAAAACTAAGACAAAAGAGTTTGTGTTATTTCCTCTCCAAGCTATCTCGGAACTTTGTGCCAGAGCAAAAGATAAATTTAATTTTAGTCTGCAAACAGAAGTCTGGATTACTACACTTCATATTGAAGCTTATATTTCAGCCTTGTATTAAAAAAAAAACCAAAACTGTATGCTCTTCTGACTAGATCTGGATTTTGCTGCTGCTGTTGTAATTTTTCATGCTTACGACAAAGCAGATATGACAAAGTCTCCACAATGCTTAGGCACAGTTTATACCTATGAAAAGACCTTACCTGTTCAGCTTTCTAGGATCAATAAGCCAAAAGAGAAATCTAGACTAATTCAAGAGGTTTATAGAGATGAAATACTTTGCAGCACCTGAGAAGTCACAGTGAACGCAGGCATGGGAGTGAATGTGGTGACTCGTGTGCCTGCCCTCTCTCCCTTCCCCTCTCCATTCTCAGCAAACAGTGGTTGGTTCTGTAAATTCAAGCCAGAGAACCTTGAACAGAACGGAAGAAGCAGGAGGTGAATACTTCTGGCCTTCCAAAAGCCCTAAATCAAGTATGACGAGGAGGGTCATGTCCACATCTCCTAGCGAACAAGACAGTTTTTAAACTAGGCTCATGGGTCTGAACTTGGCATTAGGCATTGGACAGCTTATTTTTCACAGGGTATGTAGGACAGATGTGTTGGAGGGAAAGGATGTAAAGGAGGAATCAGGCACTACTTTTATATCTTGTTGTCCTCCCAGAGCAAAGCTATATAGACAACCTAATGAATAAAAAGGCAAATAATTTAGGGATACAAGGTGCCATTGTTTCTATATGAGACAGGCAAGGCTTTGGCCTTCTCTCATGTCCAAGAATGGGCAATATGATCACATTTGACAATGAGAAGCTCATGCTCAGAAAAGATGCAAAGAACTTGAAAGGAAACCTGCTTGCTGGTTAGTCAGCCGCATGAAGGGGAAGAGTGAGCTTCAGCTTCCTTATTTGCCAAATAAACTGTATAATGCAAGAATATTGCCTCTCCAGCAGCATATTAGCAGTATTAGCATTTCACCCTCTCCCTTTTGGGTGTTTTTCTCTGCTATAAGTTTAATTTCATTTTAGGAGATGATCTAAACTGTATCAAATGTTACAATGGGAACAGCTTATCCTCTTATATTGCAGACGTAAGAAACTCTGATTCTGATTTCAGCAGAAACCACCAGTCCTCGTATGCTGCCCGAAACTATGGGACTGCTAAAGTCAAGCGTACTGCACAGAAGTTGCTGTGGTGAACACAAAATGCAAGTTTTCAGTTAGGTCTGCTCTGGATTTTGCCTAGTATGCAAAAGGCCAGAAAGTGAAACCCAGTGAAGTTAGGAATAAATCAGCTAATCCAAAGGTTTTGTGCATCTCCTTTCATTATGATCTGTGTTATGCGGCCATCAGACCTTTGTATGTACCACCATGCCACCCAAGGAAGGCTTTTCAGGGCCATTCAGTGTTGGCTGTGAGTAGCCCTTGAAAATTAGAACAGTTGACTTGTCATCTTTGCTTGCAGAGTGGGCCTCGAAAGAGATTTGTCTTGATATCCAGTTCCAAAATGCATATGAAGTCATAGCTCAAAAAGAGGTATGAGTCACTCTAGAAGAGTGAAATTTTTCTGTTCCTATTTGGTATCTAATAATGGGCTTCCAATGTTTGAATTAAAAAAAAAAAAGAAAGAAAGCATACCAGGAATTGAGTCTCTTGCCAACATCTCATGCAGTTGAGTATTACAACTGATAATTATGCTCTTGGCAACAGGTTAAGCCAGATGTTCAGGAGCAGCTGCTATCGACCTGTTGGCAAAGTTACCTGTTTCATGGTAATGTGGAATGATTCTTGGCATCTTTCTGGAGAAAGGGGCATGAAAATGGAGGAAACTTGTGTTAAATATAAGCTGTAGCAATATGCCTTGATGACAGAAATGTATATCATCAGTAGTGGAAAATGGAGAATCTGGAAGATGATGGCAGCTCTGCAGAGGGTAGAAAAAAGCCTCTGGGCATTTTTAGTCAGTGATTTATGCTCATCAAAAAGGGCCATTAGGAGCGGCAGCTGGAGCTGTTTCAAATAGTCTAGCTCTGGATTGTGGGAATATGGCCTAGAGGCTTTTCTTCTGTCACAGATACTCAAAATTCAGAGAGTTGGGATCCCTTTGCTAGCAAATTTTGTGAGGAAGGGGACTAAAAGGTAAGTGTAAGGTCACAGATACCATTGAAAGAGTGGAGGGAAAGTGCATGATAATGTTGGAGTATAAGATTTCTTGACTCCCCTTTTGCTTGTGTAATTCCTCTGACTGTCCTTAGTAAACAAACCACAGGGATACAAGATATCTTGGCAATTTCTTGATGAAGATCAATCACTACAGCAATTAAAATTGAATGAGTTTCCCATAGATACATGGACTTTGCAGGAAAACTTTTTGAAGAAGCTTTAGTCCTGTGTTCTCTACGTATTTTGAATTTAGAAGCTGTTTTTCAAAACTTGGCTTTATGAACAAGAGAGAATGTGATGAGTTTTCTTTGCATTTTATGCCATGCTGGAAAATGTTTTGGATGGGGTGGATTAGCACCTATACCTGTGTCCACACAAGTCCGTACAGTCTCAGGTGTATGTTAACATGGGCAGTGCAGACCAGAGTTCACTTGCATTTTGTCATCCCTGTGATGGATGCCCACTGCTTTAGCTATGAAATATACCTTTTGTGTGGCATTCATAGGGGACTGAGTAGTACAAAGAAGAGGAAAATATTTATTCGTGTTATATTTTCCTAGTATAATGATGAAAGTGGTTGTGTTTTACATGCTGTGTGGTGTATCTGTAACTCAATGTGATTCAATCCAGTTCTTCCTATGTCTGAGACTGAGGGATGTATTTACATAACAGAATTGTCAGTCAGTGCGTATATGTGAGACACTTGATACCAGGCATCTGCCTTCAGAAGCCACATGTTGACCATAACTGAGTGTACTTGTGACCAAGACCAGTTTCTCACCATGGAAGTTTAAAATTCCAGTACTCCGAGCCTCTCATTTTAAGATTTTATTTGCACCAAGTCATAGCATTTTTGCACCTTCAGATGAGATCCAAAGTCTCAGCCCTTGGTATTCCTGCGCATGTTTGCACATGAATGTGCTTACATAAGTAGGCCTTTGTGTGCTTCATTACTTCACTTTTCTTAGGTAAATGCTAGTGAGAACATATGAATACATCTGAGAAGAGCCCATCAAAAGCTTATTTCCGGCACTAAAGTGTTTAAGCCATCCAAGAGGGATGGCTGGGATCTTTTTCACATGGTTTGGTGTCCCTCAGCAGAGTATTGCTGAAGGAAAGTTGTGAGGAAAAAGTTTACCTGTTGTTTAATGGAGAAGCATAAAGAAAATTCAACTCTGTTTTTTTTCTGTTGTGTCACATACTTGTTTTAATGAAGAAGCATATATACAATACTTGGGTTCGATATTCTTTTTTTGCTTAATTATCCCAGAAGGCTTAGATATTACACTTTTTTAATGTAAGCATAAACATTGTCTAACCATCGGGGAGACTCTGTGATCAGATTAATGTTTCATTTAGGAACTAGAAACTGCTCAAGACAAAATATTTCTTGTATTGATGAAAGGTTATAAATAGAGTGAAGCCAAGTATACTCAGATTAGTGTTGTGTGTTCCCCTGGAGTGCAGAGGGAGGGTGGGTAAGAACGTGTAACAGAAAGCTCTAAGAATAAATCTGAAAATTTCTTATATTCCTTTCTTCTTATTATTATTCTTAACTATATTGTTCTCTTTTTTAACACTTCTGTCTCAAATGCTACAGTAACTTTGGGATGCGAAAACCCTTCTTTAGGTAACAACATGCTGGAGCATCTCAGATCTTGCCTGTAGAGTGTGTGTATGATAGGGAAGGTTGCAGAGGACTTTTTATTTTCTAGCAAACTGTAAATATCTGTTTCATTCTTTTAGTTTTGAAATGAAACTGAGACATACACAACATTAGTTGATTTTGTTTGTTTTTTGCTCATTTTGTGCATCTGTTCTTCCTTCAAAATGTAGTGGTTCTAAAACTTAAAAACTAAAAAGAAAAATATTTCTAAAAACTAAAGAATAACTGGTCTGGGAGATGGTGGCAGAACAGCAAAAAAGGCTGGAGCACTAGTTCAGAGTTTAACTCTGCAGGAACAGGCCTGTTGCTAAGATGGCTCTGCTAATTTCCGTAGATCTCCCTGTGTCAGCTTTGGCCATGGCCCCAGTCCATGGTTTGTGTGGCTTAAATTAATGTATATTAAGTAATGTGAGTGGAATAAATCCTGCCACTATTTAGCATTTGGGGAGCTTGGCTGTTAAGAATGGCTTAGCTACAGTGACGCAAACACCAAAGACACAGGATGTTTCTTCATTTAATAGGGAGAGAGACGGGCCCCCGGAGTCACAGGGGAGGAGTGGGGGGAAAAGGGCTGCTGTGAGTCTGTGATCCCCTTTCTGCTGCTTAGGATGTGCTCCAGCCAGCGCAGGCGCTGACTGCGTTGTGCCAAATGCCGTTTGGTTTGTTGATCTTGTGATGTGAGGGAGATGGGGTGGGCACAAAGAGATGAAGGTACCTGGCGGATTCTCATATAATGCTGATGCAGGGCATTGCTAATCCCCCAACAAGGGTGAAGTATTAGGGCAAAAGCACTGCTGGTGAGAGACGATGCTTGGAGGCACGGGCTCGTGTTAACACCTTCTGCATATTGTCTATGTATGTGTATATATATATATATTTATTTTTAATATTATTCTTACTTATGGAAATTTGCGTAGATCTACAAGTGGCATCAAGGCTCCATTGTGGGAGACATGAAAACCATTAAGAGAAAAAATCCCTAAAGCAAAGGGCTCAAAATCCAAGTGGAGTAATGAGGCAGAAAAGAACAGAGGTGTCACCCCCATACTCGGTGCCGGCAGCTCCTCCTGGGTTGTTCCCACGCAGCTCCAGAGCCTCCTTCCTGCTGTGTTTGTGTCCCGGGAGGCCCTCATGGCCCCTCTGTTAGGAAGCACAGCCTCAGCGCTGATACCAAGGTCTGCAGGCCTCCAGAGCGGGAAGGAGAGCGGTGCCTC